CACAGCCAGCCCCCACCCCCCCCCCCCCCGCCGCCCCCCACCCGCCCGCGCTGCCGTACCACTCTGCCGTGGCCCGAGCCTGTCAGCGCCGGGCGATGCAGCAGGAACTGCGAACACGGCTGCGAATGTCCAACGCCAGCACGGCCTCTACCTACGACTCTGCCTGCTGTCTGGCGAGTCCCCTGGAGGAGGAGGAGGACGAGGACGAGGAGGAGAACGAGGAGGACTCCAGCAGTCGGCTGGGTCTGAGCCTCAGACTGGGGCAGGGATCTCGCAACAGCCGTAAAAGTCTGGATTTTGACTCCGGCTACTCTGAGGCGTCGTGGCAGGATGACGTGGTCGTCCTCAGACGGACCAGGAACGTGCGGGTGTCCTCCTCGGCCTGCCTCCGCACGAACAGAGCCCCCAGTGGGCGTGTCAGACCCAAGTCCACCTCCGACGCCTGTTTGGAGAGGTGGACGTCGTTTGAGGCCACGGATCCAGAGGACTGGACGAACTCTTTACTGACCCGAGGACGGAACCGGTCACCACTAGTTCTGGGCGACAACAGTTTCGCAGACCTAATACAGAACTGGATGGATTTGCCCGACTGCCCCGAGCCCCCCGCCCTGCAGCCCAGCACCAGTAGAAGTAAACTGGGCAAAGGCTTCTTCGTCAACATGAGGAGGAAGCTGGCCGGACTGTCCAGGAGCGTGGAGGAGCGGGTGAGGCTCAGGTCCACCGACTCCGCCCCACATGTCAACAGAACTGCTAACGCTGCCAAGCGTCTGTCCTGCCCGGTGGTGGCGTCACAGCCCAAAGTTCCTTTTTTCCACCAGTCCCACTCAGGCATCAACCACCTGGACACCGACTTTTACCATTTCACCGCCCTGATGAAGTCGGGCAGTCGACAGCCAATCATCTGCCAGGACATCTTTGGCTACATCTGAACCACTGAAGTCCGGACCAGACGAACTCCACAGTCACTTTATTGTTTATTTTTTTTTTCACTTCCTGTACGTGATATTTAAACTGTTCTGAATAAATCCTTATTATTTAAAACACTCCTACGTTGATTTGTGGTTTCTGTGTTTTACACAGTACAGGACACGAAAAGAAAAAAAAAACATGTTCTTTCTCATTCTTCATGCTGTCTCCAGCCAGTCTGTTCCCACAGAGATGTTCAGGTCTTCAGTCTCTGTGCTGACATTTAACTGACGTTAGCATATTTATGAAAGAATTGTTATTGTTTTTTTTTCCTCCGACAATGAAAGCCCAGATCATGTGACCAATCGGAATCGGCAATTAAACGTTTAGTCAATAATGGCAAACAGTTCATATCAGACGTCATCGTTCTGTTTCAACTGAAGAAGAAAGAAAGAGATAAAAAGATTGTTGACCTGTCACCGTCTACAGTCATCTGTGCACGTACACGTGCACGTGCACCATCTTCTACTGCAGCCTCCAGGCCGCTCCTCCTCCTCCTGCAGCAGCAGACGACGCGTCGACTGATCTGTGAAACAAACGCAGCTCATGTGAGACGGTGAATCCATTTTGTGCAGAAAAGATCTGTAAAATTGATTCTCTGAGCCTGACCTCCACAGAGGAGAAGGAAGGATCCTGAGTCCATGATGTCGGGGCGGGGGGG